TGGCTGGCAAGCCACTCCCACAAAGCAGGCCACACCTACAGAAGAGGTTCTAAAAATTTTTGAAACCCACCACTAATACATACATACATACACGCCCCCCCACACACACCCATACACCCATACATATAAATTAATCCTTGTCCATCTTGAATACATATTGGAAAGAGGAAGCATGAGGGTTCACAAGGTTGATACTATAAGGGACGAAACCATGACTGGATCTGGATGTTCTACTTTAGATACCACGAAGCCTCCTCCCAAAAGGTAACAAGGAAAACAGGTCGTGAAGAGGATGTGTAACATCCCAGACAATCCTGCAGATCCTGTCAAGCATCGTTTATATACTATGTCCTGGATAGACTGAAATGACCTGCCAATATTCTTTTCTCACCATTCCCTGCACCGCCTTCTTGTCCGAAGCAGTAATGCTTCCAAACCAGACTATAATGCGATATGACAGGATGTTCTTGATCGTCCCTCTATAGAAAAATAGCAAGGACAGGAGATGTACTTTTTTCATGCGATGCAGAAAATGCAGGCACTGCGGTGCCCTCTTCACAAGTGTCTCACTGTTGAATGACCAAGCAAGCCCACTTGTTAGCTGCATACCCAGAAGCTTGATGCTGCTAGCCATCTCCACAGGTACGGTGGTACCTCTCAGCCACCTGACCCAAGATCTGCAGCATCTGCTCCAGCCAAAGCTAGAGAAGTTACCAGGCATACATATGAGGCAGAAAATCTAAATGTTTCTCTTCATCTCCCATCAGAAAACAATTAAACGGTACGTTTAAAACATTTGCTGGCTTTTCATAAAATGATAAACAAGGGTCTAGCTTTAGAAGTCATGGCCACCATCGTGACATTTTGACCTTATCCTGCCTGATGCTTTGAGCAGAAGCTGCAGTCAAAAAGTATAGGATATGGTATCAAGGGGCACCTGCCAAGCACTCCTGCCCCTTAAATTTCCACAGTTTATATTTTATTTCTAAAAGATGGAAACATCTGAGTACAAACCATAACCATAAAGCATCTAGGTAACCCTTGGGGAAGCGGCTAATTCTTAGCAACATTTATTTACAGGGCCCTGTTGCTGAATTTATATGCTATACCTTCTGCATCTTAAGTGCTCTCAAGGTGGCCACAGTACAAAACTAAAAATGCATTTGATCATAAATATACATAAAACAAGAAAAGAGTAAATCAGCAGTATGTAAAACAAACAAGAAAACACCTGTATAATCTCAATGGCAAGAAGAATTTTGGGTGTAGAAGTGTGAGTCATTCTCAAATTTAAAGAGTGCTGTGTTTTCCTAAGAATTGCTAGATCAATACTTCTTATCCTTGGCAACTTTAAGATACGTGGGCTTTAGCTCAATGCATCTTAAGGTTGCCAAGGTTGAGAAACACTGCCTTAATTTTTGAAGGAAGTATTCTGCTAATGTCACTTTGAGACTTTGCCTACTTGCACATGAACATGGCAGAACTACTGGTAAGTTCTGGCACCATCTCATCCCCAGACCTTGGTGAGGTGGCCTTAAGTCAGCTGTACCAATATTAAAGTTGCATTTCCCCCTTATTCTGACACCATCCAAGATCAGTTGCACACATATTTATAAAACACATTCCATCAGATTATTCCCTTCCAGCAACATGTTGCAGAACACAGAAAGAGAAACGCAGAAAGATAGAGAAACGCAAAGCAATGAAAGAAAAACAATACTTCTAAAAACAGTTTATGTCATTCACGGTACCTCTCCATATTTATCCTTGCAAACCATCCTTGCTTCCACCCTATCTGTATATTGGTTAATGCATTACTCTTTGTTCTTTCAACCCCTTACTTCTCTTTTTGGAGGATCTTATTTTTTGCACTCAACCACAATTTTCGTAGCCTTCCCTTACCATGACTTCTCGCAACTCTATGACATTTCTGTGATATCATTCTTATCGCTTCGTTTCAAGCAAACCCTGTTCCCTATTTCTATTCATTCTGTTGAGCAATTCACTCTCTATCAATTTTTTTAATCATACAAGACGTATATTTCCCCTCATTGGTGGGATTCAAATTGTTTTACTACCGGTTCTGTGGGCATGGCCTGGTGGATGTGGTGTGGCTTGGTGGGCATGGCAGGGGAAGGATACTCCAAAATCCCCATTCTCTCCCCACTCCTGGGGGAAGGTTACTCCAAAATCCCCATTTTCTCCCCACCCCACTAACCTGCTTTCCATCTCCGTTCTCCTGTTTGGGGCAACAAAAGAAGATTAGCTGGGAGGCAGAGGGGGTGGGGCCAGCCTATTTGCTGGTTCTCCGAACTACTCAAAATTTCTGCTACTGGTCCTCCAGAACTTGTCAAAACTGGCTGAATACCACCTCTGCTTCCCCTTCCTGTGGTCATTCTACTTTCATTCCCTTTCTTTTATTTGTATGTCCATTTCCCCAAAGATCTTGATTCTTGACTTTATCAAAAAAATGATCTGTCCCACATATAGCATCCCTGCCATCTTTGTTTTCTTCACTGGTTCTCATAATCACTCATAATAAATTATCAAATCAATCATCCTTTTGGATTTATATTTGTTTCTTTTTTATGCGTATTTATGAAAAGACATTTAAACATATTCAGAACAAACAGTCCTTTTGCTAATCAGATGCTTACTCAATAGCCAGTATTCTCCTGGTCCAGTTCCTTTTTCGGCACTCTTTCATTTTGATCCCACCAATCATGTGACTTAGAAGAATTTTGTGTGTGCATCACATCCTTTCAGAATGTTGTATAATTCTGTTGTGACCCAACAGCGGCTGGCTGAGCTGTTGCTGGAATCTGACAGCGATGAATACTATGGGACTGCCCTGGAGGCTGAGGAAGCCTCGGGGGGGGGGGGGGGTGTTTGAAGTCAGAGCAGGGACTAGAGAGGCCTGTTGGCCACCAGATGGCGTCTGAATCAGGGAGCAGTGAGGAAGAACAGAGGGAGGCTGTTCCTGAGGTACATACGTATGCATAGGGCTGAGAG